TTTCTCACATTTGCAAAATACATATATAGACACACAGAGTCAGACACAAACAGAGACCTTTCAGTCATGAGAAAAACTCACTACTTTGTAAAAGAACAGTTGGATCCAAATTTTGTTTTGGAAGCATTTACAATTTATATCTGTCCTTGACAAGTCAAGTTCCAAACAACCTTCCCCCTTTTAACGTAAGGACAGCCATTTTTAATACCGCAAAGAATTGGGTTGATACTTAAATGACATCGTCAGTCCATCTATTTATCTAAATCCTTGTTTTGAAGCTTCGAAAGACCAAATTAATATATGCTTTCCATTCATTCTGCCTAATTTTATAGTGGCTTTTTTCAACTGTATGTGCAAAGATCAATTTAGAAGTATCAAAGGATCCTAATGTCAGCCATCTTAGTATTAATGGGAGGCTGACTGTCCTGGCACTTTTTAGCTTTGGAGGCATGATCCCTCATGTTAATTTTAGTTTTTCCTATAAGATCTGTAGAGTCTAGGGAGAACCAGCCTTTACGTGCACATCTCCAGATGAGCCAAATGCCATGAATATCCCTATAGAACTTCTTCACACCCTAGAGGGAATTTTTCCTCAGGCAACCCAACAGTCACCTAAGAATACTGGAGCAAAAGCCAGCAAGAGCTTACTGGATGTTGCTGGAACCATAGCACTTTTCAAGGCACAGCCCCTTTCTTGGGGTGAACGCACTCCAGAGTGCCCTGCCTTTCTCCCCGGGGACCCCACTGGCCTCTCTGGGATTGGTTGCGATACTGCACTGGACACCTTGTGGCACCTCTCTCTGCCACTCCAGATTTGGGGATCTAAAACAACTATTGTCACCCCATGGGTTATTCAGGTTAAGGAAGCAAATGTCCTTTCTTTTTTGGAGCTAAAGAGAGTTTGTCTCTCATTTAAACAGCAAAGAATTTGTTCAGACTCTCAGTAAGCAATCTCATTAAAAAGCTGAAATTAAAAGCAAGCATCCATTTTTTCTTCTCTTTTCCCTGGGTTATCTCAACCCTTATCCTCCTCGAAGATTTTCTAAGAACAGCTCAAATAAAGTCAGGATCCACTACCTAAAACAAGAAGTGCCAGGATTCTGAGAGAAAAACTCAACGAAGTTCATCCATTGTGAAGAGGGGAGCCAGTGGGGCACAATGGGCCCTCGCTTGTACCTAGCACTGGGTCCTGGTCCGCAGGGTGGTCCTGGGTCGGCTTCTTTGGAATCCTGCCGACTATGCCAAGTAAATGTTGACAGGAAACATCCAAATCTGCAGAGAATTTTTATAAGAGTTTATTTGAGCCAAATTGATGACAATTGCAGGGAAGCAAAATCTCAAATGCTTGGGAGAATGACAGTTTTGCAGATTCTTTTATGCATTTGAAATTAAGGAGTGAATGTAAGGAAGATGACATGAAGGTGGGAGAAAGCAAGGTGGGATTGGATTACTGGATAGTCAAGATTATGTGCTCTCTTGAGGACAGTTAAGCTTATTTCAAAGGTGTGTTAACCTAGATGTACAGAAACAGTGGACAGGGCTTGCTTGACATAAATCTTTTACTAAAGAAGTTATACTCCTGGAGTGTGACTACCCATCACCACCTGCCCAGTTAGGAATTTATGATCAGATCATCCTGTAGTTATTTTCTGTAAAACCCCTTTTTCATCCACGATGTCAATTAATTAACAATACTTCATTAATACTAATCTTTGTAGTATAGAAAGTAAGTTATCAAAGTGTTGCCTGTGGACCCCTTGGGATACCCGAGATACTTTCAGGTGGGCCGCAAGATCAAACTTTTTCATAATAACATTAGGACTTTTTTTTTTTTCTGTCTCACCACATTATTTATACCAAATGGGGTAAAATCAATGGTTATTAAAACTGCAGGCACATTAGCATAAATCTAGCAGAAATTACAGTTGCTCTAAACTATACTGGCATTTACCATATTGCTCACCATATACATTCACACACACACACACACACACACACACACACACACACACGCAAATCCAGTCCAACTTAAGGATTTTTTTTTAACTTTTATTTCATAATCATAAACTTATCTCTGCAACCCAGCTAGACTTGGAGGGACAAGGAAAATCCAGAATGCAATGAATTGCAGTGAGAGCAGAGATTATAGGGTGTTCAAGCAGGTGGGGTGAGGGGTACTCTTGCAACCTACAGAAGGAATGGTCTGATGGTTGAGAAAAAACAAGTCAAACTTATTAGAGTTGTCCACATTCAGTAATGATGATCTTCTTGCTGATCTTTGCCATTCCTGGAACCAAAGTGCTCCATGCCCTCTACAATATTCATGCCTTCTTTTACCTTGCCGAAGACCACATGCTTGCGATCCAAACACTCAGTCTTGGCAATGCAGATACAAAGCTGGGAACCTTTTGTGTTGGGTCCAGCACTTGCCATGGACAAGATACCAGGACCTGTATGTTTCAGGATTAAATCCTCATCATCAAATTTCTCCCCATAGATGGGCTTGCCATCTGTACCATTATGATGCGTGAAGTCACCACCCTGGCACATAAATCCCAGAATAATTCTATTAAAGCAGGAACCTTTATAACCAAATCCTTTCTCCCCACGCTGCTGTCTTTGGAACTTTGTCTGCAAACAGCTCGAAGGAGGCATGGCTCAAAGGCTCTCTGTCGATGGTGATATCAAAGAACACGGCTGGGTTGCCCATGGCTGGGCACGAGTGGCTCTGGGGTGGTGGCTTCTGCAAAGCCAAGAATATTTTAGATGAAGCAATAAAAATTTAATAATTTTATTAAATCTCAATCCTGGAAAAGATTTATGTCAGTGTAATAATATGTGATGAAACGAGAATCACGAAGCATTACCGCATACCACGGTGCAAGAGTTGTATCGCGGAAAAGTACCTCTACAATCGTTTGAGTCATGAGCTGAACTAGCCACTTGTGTTGGAACACCATTTTTATCCGAAAAAACAACTGCAGTTATTCAGATTTGATACTTGGCAGACATTTTTTTGAAAAATGAACTGAGTGAGACCATCATTTCAAATAAAATAATTGGTGGTATTTGTTGCCAACGATAAAACTAGAGCTTTCATACACACACTCATTGTCAACAAAATCCATAACTGCCCAGATTCAGCACGCATAGTCAAGTGGTAAAAGCAGCACATTTGAGTCTCCCACTAACACTCTGCTCTTATTCGCCACTGATTGGCCACTGAAAGCAAATAAGATAGTAGCCCAGTTTCCCAGAGCATGGGAGGTTAAAAGAAGAGCTCGGAGGGTTAATAATGTGGTTTGGATTTTAGAGCAAGTCGAAGTCTTTTATGCCCTTCTCCAAACATGAGGTTGAGCAATCTATCAAGTTGAGGTATGCTTCCTGGAATTGCCACATTACTACCTATCTTATTGTGTGCTTTACTGGAAACTGAGTTTTGATTGCTCACTTCTCTAATTTCTCTGAGTCCGTTCCACTCAAATCAATAATCTAGCTTTCAAACATTAAATGAATAAAAGGAAAGCAAATTAAACCCAAAGCAGAAGGAGGTCATAACAGATGAAAGTGGAATTAATGAAATAGAGATGAGAAAAACAATGAAACAAAGAATTCGTTCTTTGAAACGTTAAAAACCTCTTTTAAGAGAAGGTACAGAACCTATGTTGTGGCCCCCGTGTCTTGGTGTCTGTGACAGTGTGGAGACCATGAGGAAAAAATGTTTAGGAAAGGTAGGGGGAAAAAATCGGAACTCCTAAGTCACAAGTGGCAGAATCCTCATTAGCAAATGAGTTGCTCCTATGTCCAGAGCCAGGAAATCCAGAAAAACTTTCTGCCAAGGGTGAAACATCTCAGACCCCCCCTCCTCAATCCAAAATAAACTCCTGGCATTGACTGCGGACATTTACTATGACCACGACACTAGCATGTAATGTGTTTGGGGGTGGGGTGTGGAGGGTAAGGAGTGGAATTACAATCTTTGTATATAAAATAACACTGACGTGTTGTATCTCATTTAACATTTATATTCGCCCACTTTAGAGCATTACCCTGAGGAGCTCTCTAGCTCTCTGATCTGTACAGATTTTCTTTATTGTACATAATTTAAATTTTAAAAATTACCTTTACTGGAGAGATTGTTGGATATGCATGAAACGAGAACAAAAGTGGACATCACCAGGAACCAGGCAAATCTACATTCTGATGGTGGTGGGTCAGGGGAGGATTCGGTGAAGCTGTTTGCACCTTATTTCAAAATCTACTTTGGTCCGGCCACTTCTCACCAGAGATGGTCAGGCCACCATCATTTATGGCCTTTCATAGTTCTTCGGGACTAATTCTGCCAAGTGAGAGTCACGTTGGAAAGGCCCAGAGGCTGAACCGTGCCAGACCTGGCTGAAGAACTGCAAGGAGTGAGAGTAGGAGAGTGGTAGGAAATGGTGCCGGAGACATGCAGTGGGCCTGGTTTCCCGCGCAGCACAAGAAGACATGTTGCCTGAGCCCCATTAATACACGCGGAAGGGAAAAGTGAAAAGTGATTGAACGGAGAAGTGAAGGCGACTTGGTCCAGGTAGCGTTTCGGGAGCGGCGGCTTTCCCTGTGAACTTCGTAGTTCAAGCTACCGGCGTAGGGAATCCATCGTCAAGATAGCAGCGTCCTAGTAGAAGTCGCAAATAGGACGCTGCCATGTGCTGCCTGTGAACGTACGGACTCAGCCATCTTACAGAATCAGATTCCAAGATGATGGCGTCTGCATGGAAGTCGCGCAGTAGGCGCGGCCATATTGCCTCTCACTTTGAGGCCGTACAAGCCGTCACCGTACGGACTCGACTGACAAGGTGGCGGCGCCCTCGGGAAAGCAGCGCTAAGGCGCGGCCATGTTTCCTGAGAACGTATGGACTCGGCCACCATACGGCTTCGGTAGTCAAAATGGCGACGCCTGACAGATAGTCAGGGTTGTAGGCGGGCGACCGCTTGTTTGTCGCGGGGCCGACGCACTGGGCCTGCGCAATAGGAGTACGGTGCCTGGGAGGCGCTGCCAGAAGCGGAAGTAGTTGTGGGCACCTTTGCAACTGCCGCGGACGTGGTGGAGTGGTCTGTGTAGGTTCGCGGGTCGCTGTCGGGGGTCGAGAAAGGGGGCGCCGGCATTCGAGAGATGGTGAGTACGGGGTTCAGGGAGAGGGTCGGCGGTAGATGTTAGTGGGGTTGGTAAAGGCGAGGTCCTTTGGCAGACGCGTGGGGTCTGTGGTGAAAAGAAACGCGGGTCCGGGCAGAATTGTGGGAGCCTGTGGGGATTTTTAATAGGCTTCTGTGGGTAGAGTGATGGGGGTCTGACACTCTGATTTTTTTCTGTTGCGTGAACCGTCTGGGAGTTGTGTGAGGATCCGCTGTGGGGGTCTGTAATGGAAGTTTAGTAGCGAATCCCTGATGGTAGTTCCTTGGGGTCCGGATGGGGGATTCTTTGGGCAGAGTGATAAAGGGTTTGCGATAAGCCGCATTGCATAGTCTGTAGTGTGCCATGATGACTCTCAAGGATCCGTGGAGAACCATGATGGAGGCGGGGGTGTCCGTGGAGTTAATAACGGGATTTGTGGGGAACCGTGATGGGAAGTCTGTGGATAAATCACGTGGCATTTGTGAGAACTTGTGATGGGCGTAGTGGTAGGGTGTGTGTAATGAAGCTTTGCGAGTGTGTGGATAGAGTGAGGGGTGTCACTGGGGTAAGTCTAGGGTAGAGTGATAAGAGTTTATAATCAGAGTAATAGGGTGTCACGGGCCAGTGGTGGGGGGGTTGTGGGGACCTTAATGGAGAGATTTATGAGGAGCCATAATGGGAAGTCTATCAGCAGAGTATTTGTGTCTGTGGTGAGTCCAGATGGAGCTGTAATGGAGGAACGAGTCGCCATGATGGGGGTTCTCTAAGGAGCAATAATGGGGGGGATCCCACAGGAAGGGGATGGTTCAGACCCAGAGCCTGCAGATGCTGGGGAGGACAGCAAGTCGGAGAATGGGGAGAATGCACCCATCTACTGCATCTGCCGCAAACCAGACATCAACTGCTTCATGATGTGAGCCTGGGAAAGGTGGGCGGGGCTGTCACCTGGCAAGGTTGGGTGAGGCCAATTGGTGCCGCTCCTCACATCTCCACCACTCGCCCCATCCTCTGCAGCGGGTGTGACAACTGCAATGAGTGGTTCCATGGGGACTGCATCCGGATCACTGAGAAGATGGCCAAGGCCATCCGGGAGTGGTACTGTCGAGAGTGCCAAGGTGAGGGGGGTGGCATGGACAAGGTAGGCAGGGCGGGCATTGATGGAGGAGGTGGAGCCATAATGGGATGCTGGGTCATGGGAAGTAGTGATATATGTTTGTGGGCAGAGTAATCGTTCTGTGATGAGCCATAATAGTGGGTCCCAGTGGAGGGGGCAGCTCTTCCCTGGATTGGGGGAAGAGAGCTATTGGCTAATTGTGGGTGGGACAGAAAAGGAGAGAATCTCCCAGTGCCAGCCCACCCTGCCCCCACTCTCTATCCAACAGAGAAAGACCCCAAGCTGGAGATCCGCTATCGGCACAAGAAGTCACGGGAACGGGACAGTAATGAGCGAGACGGCAGTGAGCCCCGGGATGAGGGTGGAGGGCGCAAGAGGCCTGCCCCGGATCCAGACCTGCAGCGCCGGGCGGGTTCAGGGACAGGGGTTGGGGCCATACTTGCTCGGGGCTCAGCTTCGCCCCACAAATCCTCTCCACAGCCCTTGGGGGCCACACCCAGCCAGGTGAGTGGCTGCGGTTGCAGGGATAGGTAAGGTGATCCCATCTCAGGCCCTACTTGAGTTCCTGATTTGTATTTCGGGCCCCTTCCCTCAGCATCACCACCAGCAGCAGCAGCAGCAACAGCAACAGCAGCAGCAGCAACAGCAGCAACAGCAGCAGCAGCAGCAGCAACAGCAGCAGCAGCAGATCAAACGGTCAGCCCGCATGTGTGGCGAGTGCGAGGCCTGCCGGCGCACTGAAGACTGTGGCCACTGTGACTTCTGCCGGGACATGAAGAAGTTTGGGGGCCCCAACAAGATCCGGCAGAAGTGCCGGCTGCGTCAGTGCCAGCTTCGGGCCCGGGTGAGCATGGGCAGAGCTGGGAAGGGTCAGGTTAGGGGGCCAGTGTGTTCAGGAAGAACTGGTTGAGGTTAGGATGAGTAAGCCAGGCGGGGTGGGGTCTAAGTGCATACAGACAAGTGGGAAGGAGTCTGGCCTGTTTAGATGAATGGGTCATGACTAGGTGTGCTGGGCTAGCACGGGAGTCCCCCAACCCTAGGTGGGCCGGGTAGGTTCGGATGTTTCTGGGTAGTCAGGCATGTCGGCAGATGGGACAGAGCTGAGCATGTCCTATTGATGAGGGTGGGAGAGCAATTGTGCCTGGGGAGGCAAGGCGGGGCTAGTTGGTGGGGCCAGGCACTTGTGGGAGGAGTTAGGGCCGGGTCACCCTCCATCCACCTGGGGCTGACCTGGGCCTTCCTCCTGCCGGCACAGGAATCGTACAAGTACTTCCCTTCCTCGGTGAGTCCAGCCCCCCAGGGCGGGGCGGGGCATGCGGGCAGGTTTATTCAGGGCCAGTCCTGAGATTCTGCCCTGCAGCTCTCGCCAGTGACGCCCTCAGAATCCCTGCCAAGGCCTCGCCGTCCACTGCCCACCCAGCAGCAGCCACAGCCATCACAGAAGCTGGGACGCACCCGTGAGGATGAGGGGGCAGTAGCATCATCAGCAGTTAAGGAGCCACCTGAGGCTACAGCCACACCTGAGCCACTCTCAGATGAGGACCTGCCACTGGACCCTGACCTGTACCAGGACTTCTGTGCAGGGGCCTTTGATGACCATGGCCTGGTGAGCAGGCAGAGCATCCCATGGTGGAAGGGTGGAGGTTGCAGAAGCAGAGCATTCGTAATAAGGAGAGAGGAGGCAGAGGGTATGGAAGGCTGCTTCGGGAATCAGTAAGTGGTGGATAGTCCTGAGTAGGGCATGTTGGTCAGCATATGCCTCACTTGCAGCCCTGGATGAGCGACACAGAGGAGTCTCCTTTCCTGGACCCTGCGTTGCGGAAGAGGGCAGTGAAAGTGAAGCATGTGAAGCGTCGAGAGAAGAAATCTGAGAAGAAGGTGATGGAGAGAATGAAATGGATGTGGGAAGCCAGAGAGCAGGGGCTAACTGGGGGCTAACCGGGGTGAGAGTCAGAAAGGGGTGGGATGCAGGGAGAGACGGGTCTGGGGCTGATTTCAACTCTTCCCTGTCCTAACCTGCCTTGTTCCGTAGAAGGAGGAGAGATACAAGCGGCATCGGCAGAAGCAGAAGCACAAGGACAAATGGAAACACCCGGAACGTGCCGATGTCAAGGATCCTGCATCGCTACCACAGTGCCTGGGACCTGGCTGTGTGCGCCCTGCCCAGCCAGGCTCCAAATATTGCTCAGACGACTGTGGCATGAAACTGGCAGCCAAGTGAGTCATTCTTGGAGGATTCAAGGGAGTAAGGGAGTACAGAGTAGGGCTTGAACAAATCGCTCTGTATGTCAGTTCCCTGTTCACTATTCAGTCAACCAAGCACCCTCCTATCCGTCTACCCTTCCATCTACCATTCAGTCATTCTTCTGCTTATCTATCTACCATTCACTCACCTGTTGACTTAACTTTCACCATTTAGTCATCCATCCATTCTGCCATCCTTGGCTTATTCCCCTTACTCATCTTTTATTTCCCACTTTCGCATTCAACCCACTGTTCCTGCAGCCGCATCTATGAGATCCTCCCACAGCGCATCCAGCAGTGGCAGCAGAGCCCCTGTATTGCTGAGGAACATGGCAAGAAGCTGCTCGAACGCATTCGCCGTGAGCAGCAGAGCGCCCGCACCCGCCTTCAGGAAATGGAGCGCCGATTCCATGAGCTCGAGTCCATCATTGCACGTGCCAAGCAGCAAGCTGTGCGTGAGGATGAGGAGGTGAGCAAGCATGGGCATGGCAGTGCAGGGCCCAGTACCTAATCCTGCCTGGCCTCACTGTTCCTTCCACCCCATGTAGAGCAATGAGGGTGACAGTGATGACACGGACCTGCAGATCTTCTGTGTCTCCTGCGGGCACCCAATCAACCCACGTGTTGCCTTGCGCCATATGGAGCGCTGCTATGCCAAGGTCAGGGTGTCAGCCTGAGGGGGTCAGATGGTTTGGGAATATCAGCGGGTCCATGGGGGACAGATGTGTTGTCTGGGTGTTGTTTTGGGAGGGCATGCAGCACACATCCACAGTTCCCCTCCATTTGTGCTCATCCTTCCAGTATGAAAGCCAGACGTCCTTTGGGTCCATGTACCCCACACGCATTGAAGGGTGAGTGTGGGTGCTAGCTATGTGGAGTTACAGTAGGGAGGTTAAGGCTGGGGTCAGAAGTGGAATGTTGGCGCAGGATACGGGCATGGCTACAGATAGGTGGGCCCCCTTTCTTCTCTCTCCCCATTACCCTTTCTCTACTCCAAACCCCCAGGGCCACACGACTCTTCTGTGATGTCTACAATCCTCAGAGCAAGACATACTGTAAGCGACTCCAGGTGCTGTGCCCCGAGCACTCACGGGACCCCAAAGTAAGGTTTTTCCCTCAACTGCCCCCATTCTGTCCCTCTTCTCTTCCTCACTGCCCCACATTAATCTCTTCTTCACCCCTTCCTTTCCTTTTCCTACCTTACCACTTCCATAATTCCCACTTATCCCTGCTTTCTCACCATCTTTTTCCTGTCTCATCATCTCCTGTCCCTCCCCTTTGCCCTGCCTTTTCTTCTTCCATTCCTCTCCACTTTCCCCTGAACTTTTCATTCTTTCCCTCCTCCCTTTCTGACCACTCCCCATTCTTATTCTCCTTCCTACCTTACCACCCCCTCATTCGCCCCCACCCCTGGTCTCCCTACAGGTGCCAGCGGACGAGGTATGCGGGTGCCCCCTTGTACGTGATGTCTTTGAGCTCACAGGGGACTTTTGCCGCCTCCCCAAGCGCCAGTGCAACCGCCATTACTGCTGGGAGAAGTTGCGGCGTGCTGAAGTGGACCTGGAGCGCGTGCGCGTGGTAGGTTTGGATAGTGGGTGTGGCCAGGGGGAGGTGGGTCTTCCAGAGCTCCTTCTCATGGGTCCTTCTACTCCCCTGGCAGTGGTACAAGCTGGACGAACTGTTTGAGCAGGAGCGCAATGTACGCACAGCCATGACAAACCGGGCAGGATTATTGGCTCTGATGTTGCACCAAACAATCCAGCATGACCCACTCACTACCGACCTGCGCTCCAGTGCTGACCGCTGAGCCTCACTGGCCCAGATGTACTCAGCCCCCCGCATTCCAGGCGGGGAAGCTTCCTGAAATCCCCCATTTGTCTGTTTCTTCAATGGTCCCTGAATTTCTCCTTGTACCCATCCACCATTTGACGGCCCATCTGCCCTTACCAGAAGGTCTCAGAATTTTCTCTTCTTCTTGTCTATCCCTCTGTATTTTCCCTCTGCCTGGTTGGGACTGTGGAGACTGTTCACCCTTGCTTCCCCCTTCCCTGGTTTTGTTAATAAAATTTTGAATCAAGAAGGTTAACTATCGATGGTCTCCAAATTTTACCCAGTTGCAAGTGTATTCCCAAACACCTGGGGTGGATAGTCAGTGGCAGGTCCGTACTCAGGAGGGGCTGTAGTACCACGTGTAGGCTGCGAGTATACAGCCGGCACCCACTTGGTGTAGGTTGTCCCCTTGAGCTGTGGGGATGTGACCTACTGAGGGAGAGCCCAATAACCTACATTCACAGCCTCTCCTATTGAGACGGGGTATTCAGGCAGCACTCTTTCAGTGTGTGGCTAATCGATTTACCACTCCTGCGTAAGCATTAATATTCTCTAGACCAAAGGTGTATTCGATGATGGACACAAAGTCTCCTCTTTCTCCACAAACCCCTCTGTTGGGACCTGTATGCAGCAGGAGCCCACCGACTTTGTGCCAGTTATCCCACTTCGCCTTCTCTGGTGGTCGGATCCAGTCAGCCGCACACAGCTTTCCGGGACGGACCTGGCCTGTTTACTTTCAGCGCGGCAACACCCCCTTCCCGTTCCTGCGGAAGGAGCTGGGGCTAGCGCCCGGCATGA